AGATAATTGTTTTCCATTTCAATGGGATGTCCCTGTTCGTAGAGACAGCTGAAACCATCCTTCCCTGGCCTAAGTAATATAAGAATGGAAATCTCTGGATAGGCTAAAAGAAAGGAATAAAATGATAAAGGGCTGTAATAAAGTATACAGGGCAAGAAAGGTCAATGAAAAGGGATGTGGACAATGAAGGAGAAGAAGTGAGAGGAAGAGTGTCCAGCAGGACAGGGATGGGAGAAGGAATGGAGACAAGAAGAAGGGTGAAGGTTACCTTTATCCTGCGGACGGCAGGGTAGTATCTGAGTACATGGCACACAGCCAGCATCACCCCGCTCTGAGTGCATGTGGACACGATCTCCGAGCAGTCTGCAGCGGTCACCTGAGACACACACAGGTGGGCGGTCAGACAGGCAGAGGCACAGATACACCCCACAGGCCGAAACACACCCAGAGGTGAATCACAGATTCATGTCGAGACTCACACAGATTCAAACGAAACCCGACAGGCACCTCTGGGCATGCAGACACAAGAAGAGACTTTCCATTTACAGGGCAGTGTGGGGATAACGCAATAAAGAAGGAAAGCAGTGATGGGATGTGTAGCTAAAACTGTACAATTTAAATCAAGGTAAGCTAAAACTGTACAAGGCACAAGTAAAACCATGTTTATGATACTGTGTGTGTACAATTCTGGTCACCACATTAAAAGATCCTGCTTCTCTGGAATCAGTCCAGAGAAGAGCAGTGAGATACATTCTCAAGCTCAAAGGAATGTCCTACACTGATAGGCTAAAAGAATCTCAGTTTTGGAACAAAAATGGCTATAAAGGGAATTGAAATGTTCCAAGCCCTCCAAAGCACATGCAGTGGAATTCAGACTGAACAGTGAAATGCAAAACAAGGGACACAATTGGAGAATAAAGGCTAAGAACTTTCAAAATAGGTGCACAGATTTACACAAAGAGTTGTGAGAGCCGGCAACATGTTAGCCAAACATGCTGTTGAGCCCAAAACCCTGACTTCTTTCAAGAAATAACTGGATGAGATCTCAGATCACTCAGTTAGCAGCAACCGAACAAGCTAGCTGGACCACATTGCTTCCTGTCATTTGTAGATAATCTTATATTACAGCGTTAAGCATTAACACATTTGTGAGGCATCCAGAATGTCAGAAGCTGTTGAGTTCAGCCACAATAAAAAGGTCCACTCACTGCCATGGGCTTCTCCAGGAGGATGTGGTAGCCCTTCTGCGCGAAGGCCACAGCAGGGTCCTGAAAAACACAACCCAGCTTCACAAGCACAGACTCCAGCAACGCCCGAGCAGAGCAGCCCCTGTGCCCATACCAAGGGTCCTCCCCAGACTTTTCTTCCCAGATTTTTACAGCGCAGACCTCTCTCGGGTTCTGGAAAACGCCAGTCAAACACGGCCAATTTGGAACAGCAGCAAAAATGCTCAGGGGCTCTCCTTCAAAGTATTTAAGGAGATACGCATGTCTCTGAACTGGCTGGTGGCAAGCTGTGCCAAATTAGTTTGAAAATCATGCTTGGAGGCTGGGTTCCTTAACAGCTGGATAGACACCCAAGCATACCATAAAACCTCTGCTGCCTGCTGATCTAGCCAGTGCAAGTTCAAGTCAAGCCTATGCCCCAGTTCAGTTTCAATCTCTATTTAGTTCAGGACTAAGGCAGATCCCTCACTTTTAGTTTTAGAAGATGAGGAGTGTGCACACGTTTTGAGCTAAACCTATGTCTAAGAGTTCTGCCAAACATGGCACAGAACCCTGAATATTGACTTAGAGCAGAATTTTAGAATCTTCTGGGATATTCTTCAAATTTCGTCCAGGGGACAATAAAGCTTGAAATGCTTGCGACAAAGAAGATGTTAGGGAAGAAGAGAAGGCCCAGTTCACATCAAAGCCTGAGTGAATGGGAACCCCTCTCCTGGACGCACCTTGTGAAGTCTGTCAGGGGTGGAGATGATCACTGCGTCCGCAAACTTCTCCCTCTGTGCAGCAGTGCGCCAGTCTGGTGCACACAAAAAGAAAACCCAGAAAGTACCACTCTGTCAGGGGATAGCCTGCAGACCTACAGTATGTCCAGATGAAACCTTGAAACATCAAGGTCTGTGAAACATCAAGGACAGCTCATGTTGGTAAGCCCCATATTTGCTATTCTTCTTCTTTAAGGCAAAAATATGGAAAAAGTGTTTGAATGTGTTTCTGTTAGAAAATGTTTTTGGATTCAACACCAAGTTCACTTCTCAGACAAACTGAAGGGTATTCACTCCAGGAGTTTCTAATATCTACAATGGCAGTATCTAGAGGAAGCTTCGTTTACTTTCATTGCACCCAATAATATGGCAGACCAGCTGGCCCACATTCAGATACAGCTGTATTACTTAAAGCACTGACATGTCAAGATCCTGTTTTTTTCTGCGTCTTTACCAGTCAAATTTCTGTGTCGTCTTTGAAATGAAACAATGTGGCAACACATCCATATCAATGCTTATGGTGCTTTAGACAGGCAAAGCATATGGTGTCACAGTGCAAGGTTTATGGTATGCGAACGTGCATTTAACAACTGAAAACAGGAGCCACTTCTTTACACAAGGGGTAGTGGGAGTGTGGAACAAGTTACCCAGCTCTGTGGTTGAATCTAATACTCTGGCTTCTTTCAAGAAATGGCTGGATCCATTAGCTGATCGATAAGTACTAACTACCAAATGGCCTCCTCTCATTTGTAGCCATTCCTATGTTCTTACGTACCATCAAACACATTCGTGTCTTCTATACAGTGCTGCTCCTGCAGTCTACCGCGAGCAAATGGATTGGGGTCTGCAACTCCCACCACCTGGAACACAATCCGCATGCTAGCCAAGAGAAACTCCAAGCGGTAGCGAACATTACCCTGCGCAATTCTGCTGCGGACAAAAAACTCCTCCACAGGGTGGAAGCAAGAGCTTGAGATTTCCAGCAATCTGCAACCACCCATCAGTTCAGATCCTCCAATTAACATGGAAACAAATTCAGAAAGGAATCGCACCTGAGAGCAAAACACCGTGAGGCAACAGCAATCAACACTGCACCACCAAGTCAAAATGGAAGTAGCTAAAATACTTTTAACAGCCTGAAACCACAGAGAAAGAGCCCCTCCTAGAGCCCCCACCTGTGCGAGTGTTTTTCTGCTGTTTTGTTGTTTTCTAACCTCGCGCTCGTTACACAGTTTCAGTTCTGTTTATGAAACGGTCTGTGACCGTGATGCAGCTTCTCAGCGCCATTCTGCTCCTGCATGACAATCTGACGGGGTGTGTGAAGCAGTGGGAGTACCTGAGCCTGGGCGACTGTCCAGTGGGGAGCTGGCCTGAGCATCAGTGTCCGGATGACACTGCAATTCCATCGGCTCCTCTGATCACCCAGAGCCATGTTCCTGGAGTCTCATGGTTCTGTGTCCATGTGTCCTGTATCCCCACCCTCCGTGGTATCAGCTGTGGACACGTAATGTACTGTGGAACCTTGATCCTACATTATGTGTGTGTCTGCATAATGTCCTATTTCTCAATAGATATTTCTCAATTATTCTGTGCTTATTTACCTACAAACTGATGCCTGCAGATGAGCGAAACAGAATGTACTCCTGTGCATGTTTGCTGTGTATGTCAGAGCTGAAATGTCTCTTCCCAGCTGTGCATCGTTTCCTGAATAGCCCTTACAACGTTAATGAACACTGAGGCTCAAGTGTTTGACAGGAGAGAGTGTTTTAGCCATGGTTATCCTCTCTCCTGTCTCTCTCCCGCCTCCTTGCCCTCTCCACTCTTTCCCCATACTCTTTTCCCCTCTCCTCTCTCCCTGCTCCATGCCCTCTCCCTCCTCTTTCCCTCCCTCATCTTAGAACAAAATCCACTAGAGACCACAGGGCAATTTTTGGAGGGGTTCCAGTATCCATGGCAACCAGCCAAGGCAGCAGGCTGACCAAAAAAAAAGCAGCTAATGAAAAAAAAAA